CAGGAACTGGATTGCATAATGCAGATATGTGAAAAAGAAACTGTATGAGGGAAGAGTGGAAAATACAACAGTAGTGGGTTTTGTTGTGTTTGGTTTTTTTAACTGTTAAGCAGCCCATAAAGCAAACCAGCTTCTTTGTTAGTAATTATCTTAAGGGCATAAACCATAACTAATTTGTCATAATTTTATTCTCACTAAAAATCCAGAAGAGTGTGAGAGAGGAGTTAGTTAAATCTAAGAAAAGAGTGGATTTAAAATAATATCTGCACTGGATGAGATCTTTGGTGGGACTTGTGCAACTAACCAGGAAAAGCTGTTGTGGGTGAAATGGAGAGAGTTGCAAAGTGCTTTTATTCTAGCAGGATTTTTGGCTCACATGCCTTCAACTCCCTCTCCCTTCACCTCTTCATTTGTTCTGTTCTGTGGACAGCCTGCTTCGTGCTCCCTCTCCTCTTTTGCTCACTATTGGGTTCTGGTCTGAATTGTTTTAAGACTCACATAAGTGTAAAATATTCTCAGACCTGGGAGTTGAAGTTGTAAACTTGCAAACTCCTCAAGGTCTAATCTAATTTTTCTATTGTTTGTCAAGCTTGGAGACAGTTATTCTTTTAATTTGAGACAAGTTCTTCAAGAGACACGGGGAAAACTGGCTTTGCATAGCAAGACCACATGAGGTGTCCTGGGTTTTGTTTTTCTTGTAAGCATTAAACACAGTCATTCTGTTCTTGTAAATTTTTCACTCAGAATTTAGGAATTAGCATTACACTCATGTAAGGGAGGGAATAAAAACCAACCTTCAGCACTGTAGCAAACTGAGTGATGGCGGAATTTGCAGCAGCACTAAGAAATTCAAAACTGGGAGGCTCTTGCTGTCTGCTGACCTTTTTTCCTCTTCCCTTGCATTCCCTAGATCATTCAACACCAGCCAGCCAGTCTCCTCACTCCTCCAACCCCAGCAGCTTGCCAAGCTCCCCTCCAACCCATAACCACAATTCTGTTCCTTTCTCCAACTTTGGACCCATTGGGACTCCAGACAACAGAGACCGGAGAGTCGCAGACCGCTGGAAAACAGATAAGCCAGGCAAGTGCTGGGTTCCAGGTTAGCATGGAGCTAGACTCCATCATCTGATGATGCTTGTTTTGCCCTGGTTTTGCCATCTCACTTTGAACTTGTCTTTCTGCCATTTTAGCAATGGGAGGGTTTGGTCTGGACTATCTCCCAACAACATCATCATCCTCTTCGGAGAGCAGCTGGCACCAGTCCAGTGCTCCCAGTGGTACCTGGGCAGTCCAAGGCCCTCCTGCCATGGAGGACTCCTCAGCTGTGCTTATGGAGAGCCTGAAGGTGGGTTTGGCTGGGGCTGTGCTTAGGGATGGGTCTGCAGGCTGGAGGATCAAGTGATGGGCATTAGCCTGTTGGAAGTGTCAGAGTTCAGTGCCAGAAGCCCAGAATTGGAAGCCCAGAGTTTTTCCTGCAGATTCACTTACACGAGGCAGTGTGGGAGGTGTCGCCAATGCAGGAAGATGTCACAAATTTACAGTTCTTCCTGGTTTTGTGATGTTGTGGAACAAACCCAGGCTGGCAGAACTGGAAGAAATTCTAACATTAGCTTTGACTAGTCTAAAATTAGTACTAGTTAATGTGGGATGAATTTTTATGGTAATGAGGGTTCTGGAGGAGGATAAAATTCTTCCAGGGAGCCTCTTTTTAGAAGGTCTTCTTTGAACCTGGTTAACTTTTGTGATAAGCCAGGTATGAGTGATAAAGAGGGAGCATACACAACATGGTGTCTGCTTTCCCATCTGGCAGAGGGGCTGTGTAATGCAAGGAGGTGCTAGTGTTGGCTGTTTGTTTTTAGTCCATCTGGTCCAGTTCCATGATGCACCCCGGCCCCTCGGCCCTGGAGCAGCTGTTGATGCAGCAGAAGCAGAAGCAGCAGCGCGGACAAGGTGCCATGAATCCGCCGCATTGAGACACAGGAGGCAACCCTTGCAACGACGGCTCCATAAACCATGGCATGTTGGGTCTGTGGGACTGGCACACACAGTCCTGTGCAGGTGGCAGCCCTCTCTTCTGTTCCTTGCTGTCAGGAGGGCGTAAGTGCTCCACCAACCCACTGAGTGTGCACAAAACGTCTGCAGTGCAAGCAAACAACATCAGGAACTCTCCCATCCCCCGGGCCCTTCGGAGGAGAGAGGAACTGCTGTTTGGCTCACTCAGTAACCCAATATCACCGCCTCTCACCTTCTCCATTGTGCATGTCCCCAGCCACATGGGAAGTAAAAGCTGAGAGCAAAGGGCAGATGGGAGAAGCCAGTGAGAACTTCTCAATCCTTTTCCTCTCTTTGGGGAGATACAATAGGAATCCATTAATGATTGCTTCGCTGACTGAGAATGTAGTTGAAATTACTCGTAAACATCTTTATTACTATCTCAGTAGTAAGATCACACTGAATTCTGTACACAGACGTGCTTCATAGTCAGTGTGTAGCAATGAAAGCCCCAGTTGCTGCTCCAGTCACAGTGGGTGGTGATGAGGTGGGGCTCTGTATCCCAGACTAGCAAAGGAGTTTCATGAAATAGAGTCTGGCACTTGGCACTGCTTCACCCGAAGGCTTTGGGTGGGTTAGAGACTCCAGCATGAAATGTCCTTCTCTCAATAGGTGTTTGAGCTATAAGGGGTGACATGGGGCCTCGCAGCACTTTGCTGATAAGCAAGTTAACTGCTATGGGGTTTTAAATTAATGTGTGATTCCTGTACATTTTACTGTAGCATAGTGGCTAGCCCCACAAAGGGCAGGCTAGTCTGTGCATTCACAGCCTGACTCATTTTAATAGGTAGGTAGAAGGCTTTCAATGGGGTTTTTTTTTGTTTTGTTTCGGTTTGGTTTTGTTTTTTCTCTTTCCATCCTCCCATCTTCGCTGAACGCTCGTAGTTTCATTACCATGGCAGAAAATAATCAGGGGTCCAGCAGGGCTGGGTGAATCCGACAGCCAGCCCAGACAGCATGGGGCATCCGCACGCCCGGAGAGGCACAGGTCAGCCTGCAGAAACCTGTCCCAGCTGCAGCCCCAGGCTTTCAGTGCCAGAAACAAATCCAAGGCACCCATGGACACACGGAAACAGCACAGTGCTGTTCATAGATGAAAAGGTGCAGAAGGGAAAAGGAAAAAAAAAAAACGTTTTATTTGCTATTTATTAGGGGGAAGGAAGACTGGAAGTTTTGTTAAAGAAAAGGACAGCGTTTTTGTTAGATTTCCCAGGGAAGTTACAGAAACAGACTCAATGTCCATTTGCTGTTTTTAGCAGTAGGGGTTTGTGTGATGATTCAGGATCTCTGGGCTAGAATTCAGCTGCAGAACAAAGCACATGCAGGAGCCGAAGTGACGCTGGAGTCTGGGCAGCCCCAGAGAATACAAAAAGGGAAGGCGGAGGAGACCCAATACCCTCGGGGGTGCGAGCAGCTCCCTACGAGCTCCACCTGAGCAACATCACTGTTCTGTGTTGCATTTCAAAGCTGTATTTCCTTTAACAAGTCCAAAAAGTGAAGTTCCCACCTGGTGGTAATCCAGCCCACCCTGTGTGTCCCCTCCAGCCGTCCCGCTGTGTGTCCAAGCTGTGTGCCCAGGCAGCTGCGGCATTCCCGTGTCCGCACCGTCACTGACTCTTGCACCCCAGACGAGCTAACCAGGAGCACCATCTCACTCCCGGCCAGGTCCCGCTGCACCGTTCCACTTGTGCATGAGCACCCGGCCTCGGGGATGCGTCTGACCCCGCCTGCCCTCCAGCACCTGGAGGAGCAAGGCAAGGGGCCCCCAACAGAAACTGGTTTGTGTTGTAAGCTTTTTTTGTGTTTTCTGTCTGTCTGTGCAAGAACTGCAGCTGCCGAAATCAGCTTTGCCTTTAATTAAACCATGTTCTCTCCATCCAGGTCTGTGAGTAGCATTTATTTCCTGTGTGACTTGGCTTCAGGCCTTTAAAAATGCATTATGTTTCTGTAGAAGCCAGAAGAATGTTTGAAGTTGATTTTTTTTTTTTTTTTTTTAAGTTTGAAACAGACCTAAATGAATCACGGCGATTCTGGCTTGGGCTTGGTACAGATAATTTGGTTGTGGTTTTGTGCTGCCTGTGCAGTGTGTTTTACATACTGAATTAAATATGTAGGATGGGAGCAGCTTGCAAAGCTCCTCCCTAGTTGCAGACTCATCCTGGTTCAGCCTGTGCAGATGGGGGGCACAGATCCTTCTGCCAATGACTTGCCTGCAGACCAGGGTGTTCACTGTTTCCATGCTTCCGGGTATGTGACAGAAAATTCCAGAGGTGTTCTTCTTTTGAAATTACAGGTGTTTATTGTCTCCAGAATAAGTTCCTTTAAAAAGAAATGTAATATATAGGTTAATGGGGCAGTGAGGTTTTCTGGACTTGTGTGATAGAATCCAGAGTGCGGAAACCCCTGCCCCCCTTTGTACCTTTGGAGTAAAGCTCTGGGATTCCAGGCTCTGTCTTTCAAAGTCACTGTATCTTCTGACTGATCAGGAAAGACTTCGATGCATGGGTCCAGTGCTGAAGAAAATGTGTCTGCTTTTATTGGCAGGAGTTTTAAAGTCCCTGTAAATTTGAATTGTGAGTTGGAGCAGGGTGAGCCTCTGTGGTGTCTTCTAAGTTCCTGGGGTTGGCACTAATGTTTAAGGAAGCAAGTGCTTCTCTGGTCTGTGCTTCCTGAACTTGCTTCCCCTTCGGGATCTCCTGGCAGGGCTGTAAATGCAGGTTGCACCACCCTCCTGTGGGTGTTCCCAGCTTCTGGCATGTCTGTATATAAGCTTTTTTAAGGATGGGGGAACATGGCTAGTCTCTTGGCAAGCACAGGATTTAGGGATGAATGTATCCCTAACAGGAATTAACAACTTCTTAACAAGTTCCTTTTTAAGAGAGCAACGCAAAAGGTAAGAGAAAATAGAAAGCTTTTAATACAAGTAGCAATAACATTTAAAGTTCATTTTCAGATGCAGGGATTCATATGCAGACTACATAATGGCAACAGTTGAATTCTTAATTTCTCTCCACAACTTCAAGCTCTTCTGAGATCACTTCTCTGGGTGTTCAGTGTTGGGCTGTTGAACGAATGCAGATGGGAAGATGCCAGTCCTCCCCTTGCACTGGCCTTCGAACCAGTCTTCATTCACTGGAAGAGAAAATTGACACAGTTCTTATGACCCTGGGAATGTGCAGGAGCATAATGTGCTGCAGACAAGCTAAGATCATGTTTTATGGTGTTTCTGCTGATAAAACTTGGAGCAGTGCTAGACCCAGCAGGGAGTGGAATGTGGAGAAAAGGGAGGAATGAGGAAGAGAGTAAAGTGGTAAGGTAAGAAGGAATATCACATCGGGGTGGGAAATTGGATCAAAATAGAGACCAGGGGGCTTGGAAACTGCCTTGAGTGGAAACAAAGTGAGTGTGGAGAGTGAGGAAATGATCTGATACTTGGTCTGTCCTCTTCAGGATACATCTGGAGTGTTTTGTCAGCTATTTCTCATGTTCACATAAAAACCCTAAAACAACCCCCTCAAAACCCCTTACCCTGGGTTAAGTAAAGCCTAGGAGCTCTGGCAGTTTTGCTGTGGGGGAAATAAATGAGGCAAGAACCAGCTTTGTACTGGTAAATATTTAGCTCAGCAGTGAAGGGGAAGGTAGGAATTTGGGGTGGAGGGGGTCATCAGTATTGCGTGGTACAAAATCTAACCTGTCAAAGGTTAGATGGGGGACTGATTGTGTACTGCTGCCAAAGCCTGCCAGCCACCACAAATTAGTGACATCACTACAGATAGGGAAATATAAGGGGGTTTGGCCTTTAAAACTTATTCCTGATGTCTTGATTTCACTCAGAGGCTCAAATGAGATGAGGAATGTGCCCTGTGTATACAATTCTTCATTGATCTTCCTGAGATTTAGTCTGTATTTAAGTCTCAATTCCCTTAGAAACACTAAGGACTAATATTGAGCGACTAATGAAAGATTGTACTCTTAACAAGAAAAGCAGATGAAAAAAGGTTCCAGGTGGAAGGAATGGGAGTGAGAGCCTGCTCCCATTGTGGGGATGGCAGCTAAAATGAGGCATCTCCTTGAAAGAATCCACTGTGATCAATAAGCTTAAATACAGCTCAAGTGTTAACTCCTGTCTTAGGTGTTTGGGAGGGCTGTGGTGGAAATGGGAGTGATGAAAATATGTTGGAAGAGGTGTAACAGGGATGTTTGAATCCCAAGGGAATCCCAAGGCAGAGATGGAGGGGCTCTGCTGCTGCCACACCATCCTCCCTCTCACCAGAGCTGGGGGTCCCTCCCCTCTCCTGTCCCAGGAGGAGCACAATTACCTTTGGATAAAACAAGGATCATGTCTCCTGCCTGAAACTCCAGGTCTTCAGGTTGGGTGGCTTCGTAACTGTACTGAGCTACAACATGGTTCGGTCCCATCTCCCCAGGCGTTGTCTCCTGCAGTGACTCCTCTGGTTTGCTGTCTGGTACAAACCCCTCTCCCTAGGCAGGAGACAAGCTGGTGAGGACACAGCCTCTTGCTTTTCTTTCTCTGTAGCAAGGCAAGAGAGATGAGCTCTGCTCCTCTCCACTCTTTGCTCCTCTGCCTTTCATGAGGTTGCTGGCTTCTCTTGAAAGCCACAAACCTGTTCTTGTGGCAAGGAAAACAAAAGCAGGAGGGAAGAGAAGGCGGCTGCCGCCTGTAGCTGTCACTGACCTCTGTGCCATTGCACCAGACTGTCAGGCAGTTGTCCTTGCTCTGGCTCCAGGCTGCCTCCACATTCTCTGCACTCAGAATCACCAGCTCCTGGCCCTCCACAGGCTTGTACCTGGCGTGCAGGGAATGCAGGTGAGGAGTGCTGGAACACAGCCCTGGCTCTTGGGCTGGCAGTGCCTCACCTCAGCTCCGTGTGCTCGGGCTGCAGCTCCAGCTTCCTGCAAACCAGCTCCAGGAGCTCCCTGTAGGAGAGGCTTCGATCCACTCTCAGGGCCACTGTGAATTTGTAATGCACCTTGAGGACAGTTGGTTCAGCCTCCTGCAGGCAGGAAATGGGATGTCAGCTTGTGTGGCTTGGCAAGCACAGGGATGTGGAAACTGTGGTTGCCTGAATTAGATTGCGCCTCCCAAGCTGTGCTTGGACATCGGCTGGTTGGCAGACCCAGGCTTGCCCCAGGAGAGAGCTCAGTAATAGATTAGGGACTTGGCACCAAATAGTGGCTTTGGGGTGATCAAATCAGAGCTGTGTCCACCCTCCAAGCCCCTCTTTTTCTTTTTTTTTTCTTAGTTGGAATTGCTGTATTTTCCCATCTCTTCCCAGTTTCCCAGTATGACCTTCTGATGTGCTGACCCTACCCAGGAGCATGTGCGTTCCAGTCAAGCTCTCTCCTATTTCTCCCTTCTCAAGTGCCTCAGGTTGACTAAGATGAGAGTCATCCAGTGGTCCCCTCACCTGGGGCCTGGATAACTCCCAAAAAGCAGCCCTAAGTCTCCTGGTAAATGCAGGTCTGTATGAGCAGCAGGACCTCGGCTCTGCGCTCGCAGGACGTTACCTTTGCTGTGTCTCTTGGCTGCGCCACGGTAGCAGGAACATAGTCTGGGGAGGAGGAGGAAAAAGGTGGCTCAGGAGGTGGGATGGGATAAACATTGTCTAAACACACAGCCAGACCTCATGCGGTCCATCATGATCTCCAGCAACACCAACCAGCCCTGGAGCCTGCAGCGGTCCCTGGAATGGATACGGCATCTGCCACAGGCGTTCTGTAAGATCTAGGTACAACCACTGAGCAGAGGCTTTGGCTCTGTGCCTCCCTCTTGCAGGGATGGGAGCATGAGGGGTGGGATGTCTTTCATGGGTGGATTCAAAACAGATAAACATGGAACTGCTGGTTTTAGTGCCTTTGCTCTTCTGATCTTCCTAGGTCCTTCCTCAAAACCAAAGGCAGTCCCTGTCCTTCAGTGGGGCTGTAAAGCTAAATTCAGGCCTCCAGGCTGGATTAGTGGGATTAGATCCCACTAATCTAATAGATTAGTGAGATCTGTTAGATCCCACTAATAGATCTGAGATGGCTTTTGGTGCCATAAAGATGATCATTGGGGTTCTTCTCCATGAGGTGTTTGTCCTTAATTCCATGAGCCACAGCCTTCTTCTGTGTCAGCTCTACCCGTGGACTCTCTACAAGGCTGCTCTGTTGGGGACATGAGCTTGGAATGGCTCTGGGTAGCACCAGCCAGGAATCCCTTTCATACAGCTCCTTTAAGCTGAAGGAATTCATACAGCTCCTTTAAGCCTAGCTTAGCTCACAGCAGCACTGAAACTATCATGGATGCCCTGCTTGAAGGAGAAGTCTATAAGGAATCCTTTACTCCAAGCTGGTCCTTATCCCATTCCTACCCCCAGGCCCTTCTTCTCATTACTCACTGTGCTGATTAAAAGCACAGAGGGACTTACTTTCCTCAGGGACCCCACAGACACTATTTTACTCCATCCTCAGCACTGCAGTTGCTGTCTCTGCCTCCTGTTGTAATGTCTCCCAGTCCTTGACTTCAAACGGGGCCAGGAATGAGACAGAGGTGAGCCCTAGCCCTGCTCTCAGAGGGTGAGGACGTGGCCTCTCAGCTGCTGTGGGTGATGTCGCCCCATGCTCCCCACACTGACCTGGCGCCAGCCGCCGCGGCTTCTCCGGCACAGCGGAGGTGGGTGGCTCGGAGATCTCCATTTCCACAGGGGTTTCTTCCTTTGGCACGGGAAGAACATAGTGCTGTCAATCCCACCCTCCCCTCCAACCTGCTTTTCCCAGTCTGGGGTCTTGAACAGGGGAGGGGTGACTTAGCTATATCCATTATCTCCCCAGCATTGCCAACCACTGCTAGGGTGCCACCAACACAGATTTTTCAGAGCTCTGAGCTCACAGTAAGGTGACCATACACCAGAAGAACCAACCCAAGCATCATGAGGGGGAGGGAGTCACATATATGGGTCCTACTGGGAGGAAGGTGTTAGGTGAATATTTCGAGATCTCCCCTGCCCAGGACACCATTTCCTCCTGGGCTGCCTCACCTGGATATGCAGCTTATTCTGGAGCTCCACGGGCTCGAGGAAGTTGCAGGGGACAATCCCTTTCTGCAGGGGGAGGAGAGATGAGTAGTGATTGCTTGGCAAGAAGGCAACCCACTGCTGGAGGACACAACTGGGTGTGTCCTCACCCTCCCCTGCAACCAGGAGGGTTCCTAGGCTTGAAGTTTAGTTTCTGCAGGTTAGGTGGATTTAACTGAACCCCATGGCCTAAGCCAGGGTGGACATAAAACACTTCAGTCAGAAATTTACTTAATTACTGTTGGCAGGCCTCTGCAGAATCTCAACCATAATCTGTCTGCCCCTCCTGTCCAGCACACTCCTGGTATACCTTTCCATTGAACATCACTGTAGCCCAGTTGTCCTTCTCTTTCTTCAGGACAAAGACAATGTTTCCTGGCAGGACCTGCAGCTCCTCAGCGGTCTCAGGAATGAACTCGTACATGACACGGTGTGGCTGCCCCCTGAGGGCCCTGGGTGTGGGAGCAGTGGACAGGTCAGGAATGTTGGTGATGCTGTTTTACATCGTGGGGAGAATCCAGACCTCTGCTTCCATGTTTCCCCATTCCCCCTGAGTTCTGGGTGCCAGCTGGATGCTCAGCTGTGTGAGTGCAGGATGGGGTTGTGCCTGGCTGCATGGGTTATCTATCTTTCATCCAACTTACCTGAGGATTTCTGGGGTCTTGGGCCTGGGTGGAGGACCAGAGGCCTGCCAACAGGAAGAAAAAAGAAAAATACCAGTAATCCAGAGGATGTTGTTAGCTTTGCAGCAATGTCCTGCAGCCTTTTACCGTGCCCTCCCCCCAGCACTGTTCCTGCCTCCACATGCAGGTGCCTTAAGTGCCATGAGGAATATCACTGGCTCTGTTCCTTCTGAGGAACAGTTTCCAGATTCTTCAGCATACAGTTGGTTTTCAGAGGCACAATCCTTTTTTCACTCCTGATTTTAGTTTCAGTTCACAGATTGAAATTGTCAACACTGTCTGCATTGAGAAGATTGTCATTTATCTTGTGCAGTGGTGCTGTGCTGTGTTTCCCCATATCCACCCAAAAACCTCCTGGAAAAACTCTTGCCATGTTTAGGAATAGGAAGATGCCATTACATCATCTGGAAACGGCACAGGATAGGCAAAGGAGTTGTGGAATGAGCAGGAGGGTGCAAAGTGAGAGCCAAACTGCCATTGTTTGTTTCTCCACTCGGGCTTAGGCAGAGGATCCCTAATGAACCCTTTGGGGAGGGTCAGAGATCTGCAGAGAGGCCATTACTTCCCCGTGCAGGGAACCAGCTTAACCCCAGCCACAGCTGTGGGTGGCTTTGGGATGAGCTTCCCCGAGGTGGAGGGAACAGGTGATCCATGGAAGCAGTGCCTGCCTCCTCCCCATGGCTCAGAGCTGAGGGTGGTAAGGGTGCTGCTTGCTCCCCACTGTGGATGACAGCCACCCCACGGCACCCTGCCCCGAGCATGCTGTTCACTGGCAGTCTTACCTGTGGCTGTAGGGGAGCGAATCCTGAAAAGTCATCCTTGTCCACCACAGAGGCCACCACCTAGAGCCAGAGGCAAACAGTGACATGGTGCCCATAGAGCCCTCTCAGACCTCTGATGTCCACCCTCCTCCTTTGCTGTTGGCCAGGCCAAGCTGCTCAGGATGCTTTAAGCTCAGGAGAGGCTGTGATTTTAGGCTAAGCATCTTGGACTAAAGGCTGTGCCTCTGGTACCAAAGCTTCCCTCTCAGCTGTGGTAAGTTTTCTGCTCTTAGCCTGGCTGTTTCTGTGGTTTGAGGCATTAAAACCTAAAAGTTTCCCGTTCTGTTTTAATCACAAATGTTGAAGGGAGCCAAAGTGTCCAGCTCAAGCCCATACCTCCTACAGCGACCTTAAATCTAATTTAGAAAGTTGACACGTGTTTTTGTGCATGTTTCTGGCACTCAAGGAGCTGCCTGGCTCTTGGCTGTCCAATTCCCCAGTTCCTGGTTCCTTTTCTGGACTAGTGCTGCCTCCCAGGGCCTGAACCCAGAGGTGTTATCCCAGTGACTGGATTTTGCACACTCACAGGAGAAAAGCTTGCTTGCTTGTCTGTGCTGAAAAGCCCTTTCAAACAGAGTGGTGGAAGAGCTGGAGGTTGGTTGTGGGTGTCAAATGTTAAACAGCTCCACTCCCCCACCCCTGAAAATGCTTTGGCCTGACATGAAGCTCCAATGGGATCTTTCCAGCTCATTGCTGACTATCCCTCATGTCTCACTACAGAGAAAAAGTAGAAATAGGTCATGCTCAGCAGGAACATGCTTTTAGCTCTTGTATTCTTGCAGTCTCCCTGTTCCCCATGAGATCCCTGTGTGCCATTCCTCCCTCCATGTCTGGGGGATCCCTGAGGCAGAGACCAGCTCCCTGTCTCTGGCTGCCTACCAGGCAGCAGACAGCAGCTCAGAGGGATGATGAGAAGGCAGTCAACAGCTCTTCTCAGCCCCCAGGCTTGGCCTGAATAAATAGCATAGATCTTTCTTACCATTGCCTTTCCCAGGTAGTCCTTCTTCTCCAGCTGAGCCACTTGCTTCTCATTTGGCCTGAACAGCTTCCCTGCAGGAATGGCCACCAGCTCACAGAGCTTCTGCTTCTACAGCACAGACAAGTCATGTAGACTTTGGAGGTGAGAGCAGGGACTGATGAATGTCCCTTCCGCTCTGGGCTTGGGGGCTGCTCTAGACCACCACCATGACAGCCCAATCCCAGCCTGGGTACGCTCCATGGAATCCCATCTTCCCATCCCTGCCTCCCCAGTGACCCAAAGCTCTTCCCACAGACTTGTCCCACTCCAATATCCATTGCTACAGCATTTTAATCCTGCCAAAAGGTGGATGTGCTGTCAGTGGGATTTCCCTCCCTCTCCCTGTGGGGCTGTGAGAGCTGCTCCTCCATACCAGGATGGCTTCCATTGCCCTGTCTATCTTGTTGTGCTGGGGCTCGCTCTTCATGCTCATGGCCAGGGTCAGGTGCTCCTCAGCCTTCTCCCAGTTCTCTGCTGTGGCATACACCAGTGCAATGTTGTATAGAATCTGTTGGAGGGATGGGAGTAAGGGAAAGAGCTCTTGGAGCAGCCAGAGCCGCCAGGAAAGGAAAGGACAGCAGGCCAGTGGCACTGCACCCGCTTGCTTGGTTTTTGCAAGGTACAAAAGAGGCTGGCTGTCTCCTCTTTAGGTTGCTCATGCTGGAGAACAGACCTTTGGGATCAAACTGGTGGCCAGGCGTGTCTCACCTCGCAGGCAAAGAGCCGGTAGCGTAGCCCCAGGATCTTGTAGTCGATGAGTTGGTTTCCTCGCAGCTGGGCCAGCGCCTCTTTGAAATCCTCAATGGCCTTTCCGTGGCTGGGGAGCAGAGGATGAAGGTGTCACCAGCTCGTGGTGGCAACCTGCCTGCCTCTAAGCCTCTACTCAGACTTGGTGAGTTCAGGGTCTCCCCTCTATCCTTGCAGTGTTTCGGACACCCCAGGGGAGGGGAGAGGTTTTGAGGCTCATGTTAATCCCAGGACTGCAGTGCTGAAGAGTAGGAGCCTGTTTGACCTCGACAAGTTTCAGTCTGGGCTCTGGGGCACCAACCTGTCTGGGGCCATCCTCAGGTGAAGGCTGGCATCTCTGTAAGTGGCAAAAATGAAACTTGAAACCCTTCCACTCACTTCTGCCTCCGGTAAAACATGGTCCCCCGCTGGAAATAAGCCACAGCCAGGTGCTTGTCGCAGCCGATGCTCCGGGTGAACGCCTGCAGAGGTAGGAGTGGGGAAAAGGGGGGGAGGGGGGTAAAAAGGGGACACCCTAAAAAAACTGAGGGCGTAGAGCAGTTGTACCTATCCAGCCTTAGCTGAGCAGCCCAAGCTGGGCTCTGTGGGCTGTGTCTCCCTGCAGCACTGGGCATTGGGTGGGGGAGAGCCAGGACCAGGCTCCTGGGTTTTTTTGAGCTGGAGCCATCTGCCAGTATGGTCACCTCCTGGAGAGAGGGAGAGTGAGCAGTGAGCCGTGTACCACGGCTGTGCCTCGCCTCTGATTCGCTGCAGAATTGGTTTGGCAGCCTAGGGCTGTCCCCTTCTTCACAGCTTTAAAAGGCCCCGAATCCATCCTTTAAACCGTGATCCTTTTAATTCCTTCCTTCCCCACCATGTCCATGTATCTGGGCAAGTCCCAGCGGGGAGAGGATGAGCGGCCCTGGGGGATGTACCTTACCTCCTCCGCCTCCGCCAGCTTCCCCAGGACAAGCTGGATGCAGCCGATGTTAAAGCAGATTTTGGCAGGGGGGTTCTGGACGGCCGTGAAGGCATCCAGGGCAGCGCTCCACTCCTTCCTGTCCGCAGCACACACCCCTTCTTGCCACAGCCGGATCGTCTCCACCAGGGACATGGTGGGAGCGGGATGCAGGATCCCCGTGTCGTGGCTCTCGCCCCTGTCCCTGTCCTTCCTTGTGGCGCAGCTCGGCCTGCCTGGCTCCCTTGTTCTGTACTTCTGCCTTCCCCCGCGCTGTCACAAACCCGGCAGGAAGTGCCTCGCTCGCATCGGCCCCGGGATGGGGAAGTGGGGCAGAGGCTGCCTCTGACACAGCGGCTGTCCGCGGGGCGCATCCCCGCTCCTCTCGGGCAGCCGCTCCTCGCCTAGACCTACTAAAAGATCTTACGGTTTTTACATTAAAAGCCATGGATTTGTCAGCTGGGTGGTTCATCGGGTCAAATTTCAGGTTGCAGAATCCCAGGATGAGCGCTGGGCTGAGCCCCTGGTGCCCTGCAAAGCGCAGCCTCATCATTGCTAAGCGGTTCCTGCAGGCAATTCCCGGCGGGCACAGGCGGGCTGTGCTCCCCTGTCTGCCTAAGTGGGGAGGTGAAGTAGAGCCCAAGGCACCGCCTGGGAAACCCGTGGTCGTTCCCGACCCCACGGTGTTGTCCCTGTGTGGAGTTCCACTGCTAAGGGCACAGGGAGCTGCCCATGGGCGAGGCTCCTGGGGCAGCGGCTGTGCTGCGCCGTGTCCCTAGGGCTCAGCCATCATCACTTCTGTCCAGGTGTTTTAGAGCCAAGGAAGCATAACTGGCTTTGGAGCACTGCTGGGAGCACAGGGCCAAGATGAGCACGGGGCACGTGCTGACAGCAGGATTCTGACCTGCTGCTGACTCACAGGTTTGGAGCACGTGGTTTTTAAGCATTTTTGGAAGTACTTTGCCTCTGCCCCATCTACCAGCAATGTGATGTATATTTTGTAAGAGCTTAAAATTTGTCAGCAAGACTCAGCCCTTGTGCCTTTACCAAAACTTCCTTAGCAAATTACATAACTCCAGCAGTGGGAGGGAGGCTGGGGAGGTGACTTCTGAGTACTGCTGATGGAGAAACCTGAGCCCCTGAGCAGCAAAGACTGGGGTTTTAATCCAAAGTAGGACCAAACAGAATTCTGAGCCTGGGGCTCTCTGTTTTTCCAGCTGTATGCGTGCCCTCAGCATCCCAGCTGCCTCCTATGGGCTTCCCACAAGAGCATGGAAGACTCCCTGATCTCCAGGAAAGAAGAGGGAGATGCAACAAGCTGAAGTGATGCCCAGTTGAAAGGGCAGGAATAACAACATGGTGTGTGTAGAAACACCCCTCTAGGTGCCTTTTCTGATTCTTGTGAGGGATGGAAGACCCCCATGGAGCAGCAAATGGTTCACCTTATTGGAGGCTTAATTTCCTGCTCATTTGATTATCTGAATTGGTGCACTGCTCAGTCAGGTTTATCCCAAACCAGTACAAGGGGAGCTGGAGGAGGATGAGAGATCATCCCCATTGTAAAGCTCACAGCAGCTGTCCTGCCTGGGTATTTGTAACCTAACAGTGAGATTTCAGAGCTGTGATAAACACAGCCCTTTTAGCAAGAGAAGTCTCTTGTTCCCCTTTCTCTGCCCAAAGCTGACTCAGTAGGTAAACTTGTTTCTTCTACGATAAGGTCCAACAGGAAGTGAGTAACAGAGATGGTGACATTTCCTGTGGAAGACTCCTGGAATCCAGCAAACCCATACTGCCAATAGGTGGGTCAGAAATAGAGAAATGTCCAAAATCCAGCTGGGGTGCAGTGCACAGGTTTTGACTTTGTACATTCACAATATGTACAAGTTTATAATTTCTGAAGAGTCAAAAAAAGACTGATGCAGGCACTAAGAACTCCCCATTATGCACGAGGGAAGATCTTTCTGTGAGCAGTTTTATTGGGCAGGAGAAGCGGAGGAGCATGTCCAGCTCATTCCCAGGAAGGCAGGTCGGAGCTCTCTGCCCAGGACCCTGGGGTTTTGGCTCTTCCCAAATGGTGGCAGACACTGAGGTGGATGTGAGGACAGCAGTGCCTCTTGGCTAGCACAAGAGCAGGATGTGATGAGAAGGTGCCACTGCCGTGTGCTCTGGCTAAAGCTGAAGGCAGCAGAGCTCTGCAAACCCTGTCGCCCTTCCCAGTCTGACCTGCATGAGGCTCTCCATTGAAGGCTTCCCTCTCCTAACAGGAATCTGAACCCCTGCCACGGTGTCCACACCACCCCCCAATGCAAGCAAAGCAGGATTTGGAGGAAAGAGGCTGTTTTTTAAGACTAGATTTACTTTTTCCCTTCCTGTCACCCACTACCAGCAGAGCTGCCCCTGTAAATCCTGCCCTATCCCCAAATCAATGCATGTTTTAGCACATCCCTGAACAGAAACATGGATGTACGTGTTCTGTAAATGTTCCTAAATCCATCACAGCCTCACCTAAGGGGATCTGCAGCACCTTAAGACCACTCCATTTATTCACTTCTTTTATCTAATGCCATTTAGAGGCAGCTGATCTGCGTTGGCATCAATTGCTTTGAAGCAATACTTTGCACTTCTCTGGGATTACAGCTTATCTTTTTCAAATGAGGTTCATCAATGTCTTAACCCAGATCTGGACACGAGGAAAGAACCAGAGAAGCCAATCACAGTACCTGGCAGAGCTGTAAGGACAGAACCCTTGCTGCACGACCAGGAGAATTTCTGTATTGTACAGATCTATAGGTGAAACCTGGAGGCCTTCTGTAGCAAGGCAGGGTCTCCCACCTGGTGATCTCAGTGCCTCCTGAGGTTGTGCCTGCGTTCTTCTGGAGGCAGCGAGCAAGAAGCATCCTAGGAAGAGAATTAGGGAGGCACTGAATGGTTTAGGGGTAACCATGCTGGTTCCTGTCTCCACTGAAGGCATGTCAGACAAGGTGAGTAAATGTTCAGTGACGATTTATTGTCTGGTCTTTATTATTATTACAAAAACAAAGCAGATATCAAAAAACAGCAAAGATTTCACAAGGTCCCCAATAGTTTTACACAACTGAACTGTAGTAAAATAGTGAAATTAAAACACATCTATTTCAGTCCTGGCCCTAAACCTTCTACGGAGATCCGTGGTCTGGGATGCCCTGGGCTTTCCTAATTCTTTAAAATTCTCTTTACTTGGGAACCTGACTGGCCCACTAGCTAACATGATGAGGCACAATGCAACAGGAATGTGAGCTGTCTGGTATCCTTACAGACCCTACACAACCAGAAAACAAAACAGGGGAGGCTCTGCAAGGATGGTGTCGATACCAGGATATGTTTTTTGCACTACCCCAAGCAGCCATTTTGTTGTGCTTGACAAAACCAAATCACTTTCCAGTTCCTGAAAGGTGATTTGCTGTGTAAAAGCTGCTTTTTCTTCTTCTCCTCAGGATCTTTGCTCCCCAAAATAAGAAAAGTTCACTGGGCTGGGCTCCAGTGTGAATGGACCATTAACCTTTTAAATTCCACTTTCCAAACTTCATGATGGACAACTCCATGCCACTGTGACCTTCCCACTGGCATCAGACTGATGGCAAGGAACCTGAACAGGTTAAGGAAAATACTCAGCTCTCTGGAATGATAATTGGGGTTGGAAAAGAGCTTTTTTTCTCTCCTATTCACAGATGTAGGGTCAGAGGTTGACCAAAGGCAATATGGTCCAGTTACCTGTGTTAATAATAGCTGCCCCACTTCTCAAATATCAAGATTTTCGCTCAAAACACTGCTTGGCTAGCAAAAAATTAAGACATTGCCCTGTGTCCCTCAGCATTTGCTCGAGAGTCAGGTCCAAATCTGCCACAATTACACACAAATGCAAATCACTCTAAACACCAAATTGTTTACATCACTGAATATGTCACTGAAAGGCCGGCGAGTACCAAATATTCCTGTTAGAAGTAAAATTCCACCTTCATAATTTTCCAGAATTTAAGTGCAGAAGAGATCAGGACGCGCATCATTGGTGGGGTATGACAGAAGCAGCAGGGCGAAGGCGAAGCTGGGGGCAGAGCTGCCCGGGGGCGGCCGTGCCGGGAGGGGATCAGGGCTTGTACCAGCGGCTCCCTGCTGGGGTCACACCGTCACTCCCTGCTGGAGTCACACCGTCTTCCTGGCAGTCAGAACGCGCACAATGGACCCAACTCCTCCGGCAGCCAGCGCCTGGGAAGGGAAACGTGGCAGTGAACAGCAGGCCAGGGCGGCTGCAGCCTGGAGCTCCCTTCCAGGACCTGAACAGGCCGACAGGAACGATGCGGAGGGACTCTGGACATGGCCTGGAGTGACAGAATGAGGGGGAAGGGCTTCAAACTGACAGAGTAGGGGTATCAGGAAGAAATCTTTCCCTGTGAGGGTGGTGAGGCCCTGGCACAGGTTTGCCAAAGAAGCCGTGGCTGCCCTGTCCCTGGAAATGTCCAAGGCCAGGTTGGACGGGGCTTGTGGCTGCCCTGTCTCTGGAAATGTCCAAGGCCAGGTTGGACGGGGCTTGGAGCTGGGATAGTGGAAGGTGTCCCTGCCCATGGCAGGGGTGGAATGAGATAAGCTTTAAGGTCCCTTCCAACAAAGACCATTCTGGGAGTCTATGGAATTACTTCGATCATATTTATACTGCACCTGAGTATCGGCCTGCCCTCCACAAAACACCAGCAGCAAGGGTGCCAGGGTACGATAATCACACTCGATTTCAAGAAAGCTGTTTAACTTTAATTAACTTTCATTTCCCTGCATAACCAAGCTGCAAATTTTGCTTCCCTCCAGGAAGGAAACTCTCTTTCAGCCTATTTGAATCACTGGATGAAACCATTTTGTTTGCCTCGGTCTAAGAGAAACCCAAATTTTGACTGAAGGAAGCAGCAGTGGGCAGGAGATAAACCTCAGCTGTGAGCTCCAGGGCCATGCCCTCGTCACAGCCTGGATCTGGCACCTGAGTTCACCAGCCAGGAAGGGGGTTCTTGCCAGGCTCAGGGCCTGGCCACTCTGGCAGGAGCTGTCCCCATCACGCACCTTCTCGTGCCACTGCAGCAGCACAGCACTGCTGTTGTCAGAGGGGCTCTCAAAGCCCTTGTAGATGTACTTCATCAGCAGGTCCACCCCGTTCTTGTCCAGAGACTGCACCGCCTTCTCAATGTCGTTGGCTTTGAAGGAGATGAGCACCTTCAGCACGATGCTCTCAGCACGGTCC